GGTGGGTTTGAACCGCCAGCCTTCTGGTTAGCAGTCAAGTGCTTTAGCCACTATGCTACCAGAGCTCCTATATGTTTAGGGAAGGAAAAAGCAACAGAGAAAGAAGTTCATTCACTGGTTCAACAAATACTTATTTAGCACCACTCAGACAGTTCAGAAGGAGCCCTGGGTGGCACAAACAGAAGTGATTGGCTACTAACTGAAAAGTTGGTGGTTCAAACCCACTCACAGGTGCCTAGGAGAAAGGTCTGGCAATCTACTTCCATAAAGATTACAGCCACGAAAACCCTATGGGACAGCTCTACCCTGAAACACATGGGCTCACCATGACTCAGATTCGGTGGCAAAAGTTGATGTGTTTGTTTGTTTCTCCCCCTGATTATTCAGTAGGTGTCCCTCTGATGTCCCAGGACACAGATAATCTCATAGAGATCTTAGAGATCATCCCGTCCGGCCAGAATACTCAATTTACATATAGGGAAACTGAGTCTCAAGAAGAATAGAAACCAGCCTAAGTCATGAGCAAGAAAGCGGTCCCATGTCCACTCTGTGTAGCCCACCTGAGCAGAGGACACACCCAAGGCCCTAATCTCTAGTCCCAAAGCCACTCTCTCTGTGGGGCCTCACCTGCTGCCTGCTTCCTGATTGGCTAGACACCAAGCCTGACCTTGGCTGGGGCAGGCAGAAGGTGTGCCTTCTCTCCCAGAGACTATTTAAAGGCCCAGCCCCGCATAAGGCATGCCTGGGTGTGGGCGCCTCGATGCAGGGTCAGGCAGGATGTGGCAAGTTCCCAGGATCTCTCTGAGGGTCCCTCCAGGGACATCAGGAAGCAGAAGCGAGATCCCCAGGGAGATAGAAGCAGGCACCCCTCCCACCCCCAACTCAGGGTCCAGCTCTGAGAGACAGCTTGCTGGGTGCAGCCCAAGGGCTCAGCCCCTTCTTGCCTCTCTGCACCTTTTCCAAAGGTGGTTATTTTTGCAAATTAGCAGCTGAGAAAACCAATGCCTGGCTGATTAGAAGGCAGGAAACTTCTATACAGACACACAAAGAACCAATGGAGCAGAATCAGCAGGTTCAAAGGGGCTTGGGAAGGAGCTTGGCTCTTCCAGGGAATGTCAGACACATGGCAGCTAAGCTTTGGTCCTCAGTGTGACCTTAAAACACAGCGTAAGAGACTAAAGTTAGATTCTATATCCTTCCTCTAGCCCCAGGGAGTATGGCCTCAATATGTGTTCCCAGGAAACACATTCTTAATTAAAGAGCCCCACTCTCTCTCTTCAGCCAGGGCTGTTGGGCAAGAGGCTTCATGCAGTGAGACACATGGTTGCCCTCTCCGCAGGCTTAGCTCTCCCCACAAAAGATCCAATTCTCAGGAGAACAAGAGATACCCCAACCTGCCCTTCCAAGCAAGACTAAGAATCTGGTTCCCCTTTCTTGGCCCCTATCCTTACCCCAGCACTTGAGCCCAGCCCAACCAGGTCACCCAGAGTTCCTTCTCCCTCATTCCTTGGCCCCTCTGTTCAGAATCCAAATCCCAGAGCTCAGAGAAACTGGACCTGAGCCAATGACCAGGTGCTCTAGCAGGCCCAGAGGGCAGAGATGCTGGGGTCAGGGGATCCCAAGGAGCAGAATTTAGCTCAGGAGGGTAGCAGGGGTTGCTTTGGACTTAAGCTTGGGAAAATCCAGGTGGACTTCCTGGAACTGGTGTCTTTTCCTCTGGGCACTTTGATGGCAGAGAAAAGTGCCTTGTTGGAGAGGAAGTGATGACTGGGGGGTGAGGGAATGGGAAGGGGTGCCAATTTTGCAGGAAGCAGATATCTGAGCTTGACAGAGGTGCCTCTGGAGGTAGGGCATGGCTGGCTGGAATGCCTGGCTGGCAGTAAGCATCTAGCAGCTCCCGTGGTGAGTGAAGGACCAGAGCAGAGGCAAAGAAGAGGGCCCTTCCAAAGGCTGGGAAGGACAAGGTCTGGTGGTACAGACCCAGCCCTGTCACTTATTACCCTTCAGTCCATCAAGCAAATAGTTCATCCCTCTGCCTTCAGTTTTGTTATTATTATTATTGTAAATAGATATGTAACAAAACATTTACCATTTCAACATTCTTTGCCAGTTGCCATAAAGTCGACCTGACATTCTAGGCACAGTTCAATGACATTAATTATTCTCACCCTGTTTTCAAGCGTCACCATTGATCTGTTTCCATGTTTCCCCATCACCCTTGACAGAAGCTCAGTGTCCCCTAAGCAACGAGTTCCTCTTGCCCCCTCCCTGACACCCGCCCTGGTAACTGCTAATAAACATTGATCTCAATATGCTTAATTCTAGATGTTTCCTATAAATGGGATCATATAACATTTGCTCCGTTTCCTCATCTCTAAGATGGTAATGATAACTTTTGACCCCTTCCCACAGTCATGATGTTCAAATAAGACAGTGAGTGGGTGTGCCTAGCCCAGTGCCAGTCATAGTGGTGAGTCAGTAAAGTCAGTCACTCACTGAATTAGATGTGCCGGGTTCTGTGCTACCAGGACTAGTTGCCGTCGAGTTGATTTCGATTCATGGCAACCCTATGTTTCAAAGAAGAACTGCGCCCCACAGGGCTTTCAACGCTGAGACCTCTCTAGGAGCAGATCACCAGGACTTTCTTCCCAGGCAACTGTGGATGGGTTCAAACCACCAATCTCTCAGGTAGCAGTTGAGCACTGAACTGCTGGCGCCACCCAGTGACTCTGTGCTAGGGGCTGCAAATTGCTCTGAGGGAGGCTCCAAACCCCCATCCACTTTTGCTGTCACCCCATGGGGGAGCCAGAAAATCAAGTTCACCTGAGCAGCACCAGTTTGTCCCAGGCACCAGTACCCTGGACATCCTAAAGAATAAATTATGATCATTCAGAGAAGATGCCAAAATTGGGGAAGAAATTAGCATGAGGATCCTGACCCTCCTCAGAGCCAGAGGCCAGCCTGGACCCCCAACAAGAAAAACTGGAAACACTGCCAAGAGACATTTGCAAAAAGAAAAGCAAGGCTTTATTGCATGAACAGACATCGTGCAGCTGAGCTAGGTTACACGATACTGTTTCCTCCACCTTCCACTCCAGAGGAGGAAGGGGATGAGCTGGAGGGGTAATAGCAAGCATGCAAAGCCCCAAACTAAGAGGCAGAGGGACTCTCTGCCTCAGGTTACTCTCTGAGAGCAGGGACTCCGGGCCATCTTCCACCAAGCCCGGAAAGGGTGGAGACAAAGAGCATGTTCTCCTGCACTGGGCACTTAGAGTTCTCTCTTGTGAGAAGACACTATCTTCCCATCCACTGATTCCTCTACGTTGATGTGGACTTTTCCGCTGCTGCTGCTACTGCCACCACCACCACCTCCCAGAGAAACTATAGAAAGAAGGAATAAGTTTGAGACAGGGGAAGCCTCCCCTCCCTCCCTCCCAAGGTGGCCAGGACCTTGGCCAACCTCCTGGAGAACTAGACAGCACCCCTGAGAATGGCCACTGGCCAGGAGGTATGGTGCTAAATTACTCATCAAGAGATGGGCTGTGGCAACAGCAGGTATACCTGCGACAGGTATGCCCAACAGTAAGCAGTAGTGACAGGCTTTTTAAGCTCTGCGTAAACAGGAAGTCATCTTGGGCATTTATACAGTACGTGTGTGAAAGGTAAAGCCTGAGGGAGAGACGTGCCCTGAACAAAGCCTGCTCAACCTGCGAGGTTATCAAAGTCTCCAAACCCAACCCCACCCAGGGCCAGTACAGCAGCCCTCTGGGGAAGAGGAGTGATCCCCCTACTGGAATGTTTGGTCTTCTCCTTTCTCTCTGTTCCAAGAGGAATGGTGGCTTCAGCAGAGGGCCCCTTCCCCCTGCCAAGAGAATTATGTCTTCTTACCTTCCCTGGTGCCAAAGCCAGCCATCCTGAAAGAGACAAGGATACAGATGTGAGTAAAAGGCAAAAGCTCAGGTCTCCCTAATGGAGACCCCATGGGCAGCTCGATGGTCCTCTCTAGCCCCCATAACATCACCACCCCCAGGACCAACTTCTCTAGGGACTGGGCCATCCAGATAGCCCTTCCAAACCTGTCATCCCCAAGTCAATAGATTCTGATTTACAATAATGCTCCATCTATGTTGTGCAGAGAACAGAACCAGTATTAAATTTTACAGACTACTAGCCCAATCTCTATCATTTACAGAAACATAGGTTCAGATAAGTGAAATGACCTACCCAAGGTGACACAGCCCAAGACCAGAGCCCAGAGTTCAGAACTCTTACTCCTTACTCAGTTCTCTTTGCACCACACTGCCACTTGCACCATACCACACTGCCACTTGGCGAACACTCTGCTATCTCTTTCAAATGAATCTCCATCTCAACCACAGCCCAACCACTCCTCCTGCCTCCCCTGTACCCCATCCATACTTGGAATCCTGGCTTTCCAGTAGGCTGCGGTAGGTGGCGATCTCCTGCTCCAACCGCGTCTTAATGTCCAGCAGCATATTGTACTCATGATTCTGAGCCTCCATCTCACACCGGAGCTCACTCAGCTGTGTCTCCAGGCTGCTGATAAGCCCCTGAATCTGCTGCAGCTGTGTGGCATAGCGGCACTCGATCTCTGCCAGGGAGCTCTCCAGACCAGCTTTCTGGTGGAACAACAGGTGAATAGACACATCATTCAGGATTGGAGCCCAGTAGGGGCAGGGGAGAGGCAAGTGACTGAGTGGGGTGCAGGGAACCATCCCTGAAGGGGCTTGAGAACTCCAAGGCTTAACCAGCCATAGAGGGTGGGAGCACATGCCATGCCCAGAGATGCTGGGGTGCGGGTGGGTGGTCCTACCATGCTGAGCTGGGACTGCAGCTCGATCTCCAGCCCCTGGAGAGTGCGTCGCAGGTCCGTGATCTCTGTCTTGCTGGTCTGGATCATTTCTGTGTTGGAGGCCACTTCTTTGTTCAGTTCCTCAGTCTGTAAATGACCCAGAAGAGGAGTAAGTCATACGGCCTTTTCAGATACCTGGAGACCTGGGTTGGGACTGGAGTTCAGCCCACCTTGCTGAAGAACCAAGCCTCAGCATCCCGGCGGTTCTTCTCTGCCATGGCCTCATACTGCTCCCGCATCTCAGCCAGCACACGGGTCAGGTCCACACCAGGTGCTGCATCCATCTCCACATTGACCTGGCCCGCCAGCTGGCTACCATACTCCTTCATCTCCTGTAGGTGCAAGGAGCCCATTTAGAAAGGGAGGATAGAAGAGAAAGTCAAGGGTCTGGGGTGCTGTGTGCCCATGCTGGCTCTACCTCTAACCCACCACATGACCTTGGCACACCACTTCCCCTTGGGGCCTCTGTTTCTTATTGATGGAGAAATGGATGGATGGATGGATGGATGGATGGATGGATGGATGGATGTTTGATAGCATGGGCCTCCCAGCTGTGAGATTCTCTCTTCTGCTCTATGCCTTACCAAGGGAGGACCCCAAGACAGTAGGGAAATTTCATGAAGCAAACTAGAAGGACAACAGTCCGTGCTGGGCATTCTGCCTGATTGAGAATGAGAGAAAAGGAATCTGGGTCCACCAGAGGGTGAACATCATGGAGCACCTTCCTCTCCATGGGGACCTCTGGTTTTGGTTTTGGTGTATATGGGGGTGCATTTCTGAACCACTAAGCCCTTCAGCCCACTATGAGGAAGCACCAGCTGCCCACTCTCCTCCCCCTACCCCCTAGTCCCTGCCCCACCCTCACCTCCTCATGGTTCTTTTTCAGGTAGGCCAGCTCCTCATTCAGACTCTCAATCTGCATCTCCAGGTCAGTCCTGGCCAGGGTCAGCTCGTCCAGCACTCTGCGCAGGCCGTTGATGTCAGCTTCCACACTCTGGCGCAGGGCCAGCTCATTCTCATACCTGGAAAGAGAGGGATCCAGAAGTAAGGAAAGGGAAGGGTCTGAGCTGCTTGAGTCAGGGAAGGGAGAGGAAGAGGGGAATGCAGGAAGGGGAGAGGGAGGAGGAGCTCACTTGAGTCTGAAGTCATCTGCAGCCAGCCTGGCATTATCAATCTCCAGGATGACACGGGAGTTGTTGATGGTGGCTGCCAGGATCTGTAGAAGATGGGGAGTTGGTGCCCAGAGAATGCCTTCCCTCTCCCTGCTGTTCTCTCAGTCCTATCCCCAAGGTTGGAGCCCTCACCCATAATCTCCCCCATGGCATTATCTACTGAAGTCTGTGGGGTCCTGAAGCAGAGTCTAACTCACCTTGAGTGTCCATTACTTTGGCTGGCCCCACGCCACCTTCCCTGCCACCCACCTGATGGATTGCCCTCACTGCCTCCAAGACCTGAAAGACCAAGGAGCAGTATTGCCCGGAATCCCTTGTGGGAATTGCCTGATGAGGTGTGGTGGAGTAGGATGTCACAAGCTCTGACAATAGCCCTCCCAGGGGTACTCCACCAGCCTCCTCTGTGGACAGTTCATGATCTGCTAGCCCTTCTGCACACCTTGACACAGCCATGGATCTGAGCCAGTGGGAACCTGAGGACAACTAGAGAAGGCATTTTACAGAGAAGGAACCAGGTCCAGGTGAGTGAACAAGTGAGTGAGTGGGTGGCAGAGCCAGTAATGAGTTCCTGTTGTTGTTATTTGCCATCGAGTCGGACCCAACTCATAGCGACCCCTCCTTGGGTTTCTGAGGCAGTATCACTACGGAAGTAGATTGCCCAACCTTCCTTCCAAGGAGTGGCTGGTGGGTTTGAACCACCAGCCTTCTGGTTAGCAATCAAGTGCCTTAGGCACTATGCTAGGTTTCCCAAATTCCAACAGTTCTTTTGGCACTAATGATATCCTTAAAGGATGAGGCAGGGGTCCTGGCATTTAGGAGCATGAAGCTCCACTCAAGCACCATTCTTGCAAAGAAGAAGCAAAACACTTTATGCAGAATCCTGCAGGGTGTGTGGGCTGGGAGCAGGGGTTACTCTATAATTGCTCCCATCTTTGTCCCCATTGATCCTAACCAGATTCCCAAGATCCCTCCAGCATTGCCAAGTCAAGCAGATGTGTGTGAGCATCTGCTCTTGGAAAAGCATTCCCTGCATTCCAAGTTTATCAAGGTTACACACCAGACAGTCATTGCCTGGGCAGGAAACAATTTCCTCGAGTCACCAGTAACACTGCCCTTAGAGACCTGTGCAGGGCACCGACACGCACTCTCCTCTCTTTGACATCAAGGACTAACCTTGTCCCGGAGCTCCTCCATGATCTTGAAATAGTGGTTGTAGTCATACTCTGGGCTGGTCGGGCTCTGCTTCTGGTACCACTCACGGATCTTCACCTCCAGCTCAGTGTTGGCCTCCTCCAGGGCACGAACTTTGTCCAGGTAGGAGGCCAGCCGGTCGTTGAGGTTCTGCATGGTGATCTTCTCGTTGCCAGAGAGAAGACCACCATCGCCACCAAAGTTACCAAAGCCACCGCCAAAACCCCCACCAAGGCCACTGCCGAAACCCCCACCAAAGCCACCTCCAAGGCCACCTCCAAAGCTTCCACCAAAACTACCTGCACCTCCACCAAAGCCACAGCTCATGCCACCCCCATAGCCTCCTCCTGACCCTGAGGAAACAAACCTACTAGAAGAAGCTGAGATGCTACGGCCTCCACCTCCTCCACAGAGGCTCCCTGCACCAAAGCAGCCTCCCCCGGCTCGGAGGGAAACCCCCCGGCTAGAGCCACCCCCAAAAGTGGAGGATGAAGTCTGCAGAAACGTGGTGCTCATGGTCAGGCAGTGGTGCTGGGGAGTTCTCAGCAAGCACAGAGGACCAGCAAGAGGTGCAGGGCCAAACAAAACCAGACAGCTGTGACTGCCACCCCCAGCCTGGGGCTCCTTATATACTCCCGGAGGGTGTTGTGGTCTCCTCCTCCAAAGGAAGCCAACTCCTTCTGCGTTCCTGACAAACACAGCTGCCTGCACACCTCCACAGGGCTGGTGCCGAGTTGTTGTATGTTTTTTTTTTTTTTTTTTAATGCAACAAAAGGAATGATTCAGAATTAATGGTGTCTTGCCCCAGGCAATGGTTTTAACACTTGGATTACAGGTTCATCTCTACACTAGGGAGAAAATAGAATAGCAGGGTGAATTCTCATCCACTATGCCTGCTAAGGCCTCCACTCAAACTGTTAGAACAGCTGGAACTAGATATGCCTTTGGTTGGGCTTCTCAGCCGCCCCCAGCCTAAGACCATCACCCCAAGGAGGCAGCTCTCCCTTCTCTAACTGACTGTCCACTACCCCATTGCTTCTCTGCATTTGCCTAATAACAGGCCTGTGCATGAGACTCTGGGGATCAGTGGACAGATGCATAGGACGGACACAGGGCTCATGGTGTCAGGCTGAGGACAGGACGGCAGTCTGGAGTCAAGTACCAGCTGGGATGACCAGAGGGGTCAGCATCTGTCCCTTCCCAGATGCTGCAAATGGACCCACCCATATGTACTCCCTTCTCCCACCCACAGCCCCCCCCCTTGCTCCTGCACTTCCCCACCCCACCCCCAGCCCCGTGGCACTGGCACTCCCACAAAAGCCTAGCAGGCTCAGCGTTGACGAGGGGCTGATTGATAATCCTGCCACCTGCCAACTGCACATGTCACTGAACCTGTGCTTGCTCCGGGGACACGTTGGGGCAAACCTCTGCAGATAAGACTGGGACAAGTTTCAGGAAGCCCCTGCCATCTCCAACAGAGGCATGTACAAGCTTAGCAGGGCCAGACTAACCCTGTTTGTCCTGTCAAGTACTGAAGCACTGGGGAGGGGCCAACTCTGAAAATTCTATGTACCCAAACGTTTGGGGCAGGAGGAGAAAGGGAGACAACTCTGAGAGCCTGGAGGCCAAGGCGTCACTTCACAGAGGAGGCTGAGGCTGCAGTAGGGGATTGAGCCCTCAAGAGAACCTGTTCTCTGCCCACCAGATCAGGGGCCTTGCTTTCTGAGGGTACCTGATACCTGTAGGCAATGCCACTGGGGACATGGCCCAGCCCTCTGGGCAGGTAGGCAAGAAGTTGGAAAGTGGAGAGGGGAGCCAAGACCGGGCTGAAGATTCAGGAAGTTGGAGTCCTGGCCCAAGGCTGCAACAAGCTGAGGTGAATAAGGCTTTGGAGTCCCTCGGGGCTGGGTTCAAATCTTGACTCTAGCAATTACTACTTGTGAGACCTTGAACCCATTACTTTTAAGGTTCACTTTCCTGATGTGAGCACTCTCAGCTCTCACAGGGAAGCCCTGAATCCCAAGAACTGCCATCCAGCCTCCTTCTTTCTCTCCATTTCTGAGGGGCCGGATAGTGGGGTGCATGTCCAATATCTGTGACTCCCAAGTACACTTGCCAGGAGGGACTTTAGTCCTTGGGCATCAGAGCCAAGAGACTCAGCAGCATCGCTCTTCCATAGGCAGCTCCTATTGGGCAATGCAGGTCTTGTTACCATTGCCACAATAACAGTGAGCCCTGGCTTCCACTGCATACTTTACAGTTTACAAAGTTCTTGTGCATCTACTGGCTCCTTTAATGCCCATGACCCAGAGGATATCCCTGTCCTTGTTGCCGAGGGAATGAAACTGGGGCTCAGAGAGGTGGTATGACTTGTGCAAGGTGGCACAGCACATAAGGGGCAACACCACGACTCCAAGAGGTCTTCTGACAGTCATCAAAAAGAGGGCAGGAAAAGAAGTTCACTTCACAGACCCCTGATTCCTGCAAGTGAGCTAGGAGTGATGGGAGCGGGGCTCGGATGGCTTTTCGTTGAGTTCGGCCTGCAGAGTCCTGGGCCCACACAGTGCAGTATTGTGCTCATAGGCAGGAGGATATTGTCTTTTCCTCTGAAAGAAAAATAATCAAACTCAGGATCAGCCAGAGCTCATTAAAACCTCTGCAGACATGACGGCCCCAGCAATTAACACAGGGGCAATTACTCGTCATCACCCCAGGGCTACAGAGAGCTGGACCGTGGCCAGTCCCTCTTCTAGGGCCTGACTCTCCTCCAGCCACCTCTCAAGGTGGCTTTCCCTACATTCCAGGTCCAGGGCAGGAGGTGGAAGCTGCCCCTCACTGCCTAGTCGCAAATCCCTAGTTACAGTCCAAACTCAAGATTTCAAGCGGAAGGTCTGGGTGCGGCCCCAGGCCTGCTCATTAGCACTGGGCAGAGATGGCTCAGTGGTTTGGCCCCAGCCCAGGCTGCAGCCCCAGGCCCTGCCCCAGGTATCCCGCCCAGGATGCTGTGCCAGTTCCTGTCTTTTGCTTGCTGCAGCCAGACAGGCCGTCTCTAGAGCTAGGCCTCCCCTCCTTGGGATGGGGCAGTACAGCCCAGTTGATAGAGCAGGGGCTGGGTTCTACCTTGGAATGTAACTCAACCTGAGTCGCATTCCTGACTTGAAATTGGGCCAGGAAAACTGACTCCAGCTAGGGGACCATAGTGAGCATTTGATGGAAGTGTGGGAAGGTAGTGTTGTTAGGTGCCATGAAGTCGATTTTCAACTCACAGCGACTCCAAGTGACAGCAGAACTGCCCCCATAGGTTTTCTAATTCTCACAGAAGCCGATCACCAAGTCTTTCCTCTCAGAGCCATTGCAACGGCTTCAAATCACTAACCTTTCAGTTAGCAGCTGAGTGCTTCACTGTTGAGCCACCAGAGCCCTGTAACATGAAGAGAGGGGACTCTATAAGCATTAGAATTCACCCCCAGCTCCCCCACTCCCCAAGGAGAGGCCATGGGCAGAGCATACTCCACCTGGGGCCTGGAGCTTTATCTTCCAATTCCTCCTTTCTCATTAGGTGTGTGGCTTTAGGCAACCACATCTCTTGCCTCTGTGCCTTAGTTTACCAGTTGTTGTTAGATGCCAGTGGGTCAGCTCCAACTCACAGCAAGCCTGTGTGCAACAGAATGAAACACTGCCCGGTCTCATGCGACCCTCATAATCATTGCTATTCTTGAGCCCATCTTTGCAGCCACTGTGTCAGCCCATCTCATTGAGGGTTTTCCTGTTTTTCACTCTTCCAAGCATGATATCCTTTTCCAGGGAATGGTGCCTTCTGACCAAAGTAGGTAAGACGAAATTGGCCATGCTTGCTCCCAAGGAGCATTCCAGCTATACTTCTTCCAGGACAGATTTGTTCATTCTTCTGCTGGTCCATGGTATTTTCAGTATTCTTTGCCAACATCACAATTCATTAGGAAAATGGAAAGAACTCTTGCCCGGTCTGACTCACAGGGATGGAGAGCGATGACTGACAGGAAGTACTTTGCAAACTGCCAAGCGGTCATGATGACCAGCAGTGGGAAAGACCCCACCCCATCCTTTTATCTCCCCTCCTTCCCACCTCCTTGGTCTGGAACAGGCTTTGGTCAACATAGTACCCCAACTTCTCTGTCTCCTCAGACACAGCTCCCAGACTGAGAAATAAGTGTCCCTGCCACTGCCCACCCCCCAACACAAACACAAAGGAAGTCCTCATTCCTGAAACCCAGATCTGTGACCCAGTCACCTGCCCCACCTGTGTGAGCCCAAACCCCACCCCACAGCACATTCTAAGGGCCCCATGGGCACAGGGAAGGATTTCAGCTGTGACAGCAATGGAGGCTTTCATGGGCAGGGGACAAACATCTCTGGGCAATCCCAGCCTGGGGGCACAGCAGACCTTTGGCCTCCAGCTCCAGGACTTTCTGGGAATTTAGGTGAGAAAGTGAAGCTTGTGGGTGCTGGAGGTCAGAGCAGGGGGTGGGAGAATGGCCCGGGAGAAGGAGGAAGGGGCTCCTGGTCCAGGGCTACAGCAGGGAGAGGGAAGCACAGGGTTCTAGAGTCACAGGTTCTCATCTGCCCCTCACCAGCTGTGTGATTCAGAGCAAGTAAATGGATACTCTGAGGTCCACAGGCTTAGCATGTTGTGTGACAGGCTCCCAGGCCCCTTTAGCTCTGTGCTGGGCACATACAGCAGCCAAGATTCAATCTCAGGGTAGAGGGGGCCTCTAACAGCCCCTCACTTGCCCTCTCCCTCACATGGTCGACCTGCTCTCATACAGCTGTAGGGCCTGACTCAGCCTGAACCTCAGCCAAAGGCAAGAGGGACTTCTCTGTGGGCTTCTTATTTACCTTTAATTACCTTCATTCAGTTCTTGGCAGTTAGTCATAAACCACAGGGGCAAGACCATATCCACCAAAGGGCAGGGTTGTACCAGGAAACTGGGACTTCTGTTCCCTTGCTGGCCCAGGGATGCCCCAGGCAACCTCAGGTTGGGGACCAATGTGGGAGGCCTGGGTCACAGCTGGGTCCCATTCCAGGCTCTGGGCCCAGGTATGGACTACTGGTGGGCGTCAAGAACTTATGAGGGGCTGCCCCGAATGGATGGATGTGTTAGTGCATGCCCCCACAGACATACACTGACAGAGACTCCCTCTGCAACTTGCTCTGAGTGGGATGCCAGTCCCCATTACTCAGGCTCCCAAAGTCCCAGTTCCTTGTGTCAGGAAAAAAAAATGGTCCCAGAGGTATCCCGGTCCTGGACCTTCCCACAGTGCAGGAGTGGAATGTACTCAGAGGATCTGGCACAGTGGTATCAACCTTAGGCCACCAGGACAGGGATGGCACAGTGGGCTAGGTGAGGAAATCTTAATTCTAGTTTCGGTTCTGCCATGTACTCACTCTGTGGGTTTGGACAAGTCACTTAACCTCTCTGAGCTCATTCCCTGATCTGTAAGATGCAGCTCCCACTAATTGCCTTTTAGGTGTTGTTCCGATTAACTGACATATAGTAGATATTCAATTAAGGTTGATTCCACATACATAGACACCAATCCTCAGGAGAACACAGTGGAAAAAATAATAATAATGATAATAAAATCTGGAAGCAAAACCCAGAGTTTCAAATCCTATCTTTGTCATGTGTTAGAACAGTTACAGCCACAACCAACCACTTCACTTTTCTGAGTCATAGTTTACTCCTCTGTAAAATGGGAACAAAGCTTGTTTCAGAGCTGTTGTGAGGAGCAGGTTAGATCAATGAAGACTCCTGCAAACAGGAATTACAGTAACAGTATGTGAGCACTCTCCCTTCCCTTTCCTGGGACAGGGGGGACTTTGGTCCAAATAAAACCTAAATAGAACCAAGGCTTGGCCCATTCTCACGGGCTGAAATAGCAAGCTGAACCTCTTCCCTTGGACCATAAAATTTTATTGGCAGTTCTGGGGATGGGGAAGTGACAGAGTTAAGGGGCCCTCTCCCTTTCCCTACCCTTGCCCAAGGGGATCCCTTTGCAGGAGGGCAGGAAGCCCAGCACTCAGAGGGCTTTGACAGATGGTTGGTCATTGTAGTGGGCATCCTGGCCCTCGAGCAGGCTGCGGTAGGTAGAAATCTCCTGTTCCAGCCTCGACTTGATGCCCATCAGCTGCTGGTACTCCTGATTCTGACGCTCCATGTCAGCACGCACGTTACTCAGCTGGGCCTCGAAGCTGCTGATCAGAGCCTGGATCTGTGCCAGCTGGGTCCCGAAGCGGGCCTCCGTTTCTGCCAGCGTGCCTTCCAGGGCAGCTTTCTGAGGGCAGGGAGGAGAAGGACCGTGAGTCAGCAGAGCCTGGTCCCTGGAGAAGGCACAGCCCCCCTACCAGGCTCCCACAGGGGCACATACCATGCTCAGCTGCGACTGTAGCTCAATCTCTAGGCCCTGGAGGGTCCGCCGCAGGTCAGTCACCTCCGTCTTGCTGATCTTGAGCTGCTCCGTGTGGCCAGCGACCTCCCGGTTCAGCTCCTCAGTCTGCAACAAGAAGAAAAGGGAATAAGCATTGGGACAGAACTTTGGGGGGGGGGGGATCCATCAAGCCCTCTCTCCTTGCCCCCTCCCCAAAGGGCACCTGCTTCCCCTCCGTACCCGGCTGGTAAACCAGGCTTCAGCATCCTTTCGGTTCTTCTCAGCCATGACCTCATATTGGCTCCTCATGTCGCTCAAGATCTTGGCTAGGTCGACACCCGGTGCAGAATCCACCTCCACACTGACCTGGCCACCCACCTGGCCCCTCAGGACACTGATTTCCTGGAAAGACAGCAGAGTCAGGCATGTAAAGACCCAGAGCCTACTGGGTCTGGGCCAGGTCACCCTCCTCCCACTCCCCTCACCCCAAGCCAGATGGGACTGGTTCTCAGGCACAGACCCAGGAGCCAGCACTGTGGGATAAATGAGTCAACCAGATCCCCTGCTGGTACCCCAGGAGCCATGCAGAGGGTACAGCCAGTGTGGCTATAGTAAGGGGATCCAGGGTAGAAAAATGTTCTCAGCCCTGGGAAGCTGGAGGTGGGGAGGCAGCTTGAAACTCACCTCCTCGTGGTTCTTCTTCAGGTAGGCCAGCTCCTCCTTCAGGCTCTCGATCTGCATCTCCAGGTCGGCTCTGGCCAGGGTCAGCTCGTCCAGCACCCTGCGCAGGCCGTTGATGTCGGCCTCCACGCTCATGCGCAGGGCCTGCTCCGTCTCGAATCTTTCAAAAGAAACCATTGCAGTCAGACCAGAGATCCCTCTGCACCTCCCAGGACTTCCCCACTGTCCCAGAGTTCAGGAACCCATGGGGCGGGGGCTTCTTCAGGCCAGTTGGGCTGGATGAGGTAGAGTCCAGACCCCCACTGCACTGAGCCACACGTGAGCCTGGGATTGGCCCTCCCCCTGCCCTAGCTCCCAGCAAACTCCAGCACAGACTCACTTGGTCCGGAAGTCATCTGCAGCCAGACGGGCATTGTCAATCTGCAGGACAATCTTGGAGTTCTCGATGGTGGCACCAAGAATCTGGAAGGCAGAAAGCAGGAGGTTGGCACCAGCTCAGCATACAAGCACTGCCCACCCACTTTCTTCCCAGAGGAGAGAAGCAAAGGAATACAGCCCCCCCATTCCCTAAAGACTAGAGCCCCTGCCACCCCTGCTCATCAGCCTGCTCTCTGGGTGGCCTTGGCATCAGTCCATACTTAGGAACTGGAGCAGGAGAAAGTGGGTTAGGGTTAGGATTTGGTTAGATACGTGGGTTTCAAGGAGGCAGTCATGACTCATTAGTTAATGAACTGAACAGTGACCTGCATCGTTTTTTCTGTTTTGCATCAGTTTTTAATGAAAAGGAACAGAAGATATAAAATATAAATAAAAACTGTAGAGTAAGAATCATTCCAAGAAACTTTTGCCTCCATTGTGTGTGAGAGAGAGAGCATTAGCTGTGTGCACAGTACAATCTATTTCTTAGTGTAGGTCATAGTTTTAAAAGTGTGAAAAGCACTATTTTAGTTGGTTGTTCCTATCTTAAGTCTACCCATTTGTCCCTGGTCTGGTCTCATTCCAGACACCCAGCACCATGCCAGGGGTGTGCATGGTGGGCACTGGGAAGCATTGTGGGGAGTTGCGTGTTCAGACACCCAACATGGAGGCTGTTAAACATCCCAATGGCTCCTGATACATTTCTTCAGGATAAGTTCTTCCCCATGGGTAGTGACCAAGCCCATCCCACAGGCCCCTTAAGACACAGGACTCCCTACCCACAGGTCAGACAGCCCCTGCTGCACCTGGCCCTCCCCAACAGAGTTCTTCACAGCAAAGGACCCTGGGCCACTAGATAAGTGCCTCCTTTACCTTGCCCAGGGGCCACAGCTGGCCTCTTAGGCCCAGCATTGCCCCCTGGGCTGTGGAGGAAAGGCTTCACCCTGAGCTTACTGGAAACCAGCCCAGCAGGCCAGGTCAGGCCCCGGGTGGCCCAGTCAGGACTTCTGCACCTCCCAGCTTTGGCTGTGGCCTGGGGCCTGGCCACTTGGCGCCCACAGGTGTGCCCCATCTTCACCCGATGCCTTGCTCCCCCTTTCCCGGACATTACCTACCCCTCTCCCTTCTTCCTTGGGCTCTCCAGCCCACCCCCGCCTTCTACACGCAGCCATTTACCCTGCCCGCCCATATCCCTCCTCCTTCCCGCCACCTGGTCCACTCCCTGCACCCCTCTCCTAGCCCTCCCTTCCTGTCTGCTCTCCGCCCCGCCCTGCAAGCCCTCCCTCGCCCTAAGGGGCTACTTCCGGTCCCACTCCAGCCGTGCCTGGCCCGAGGGGCTGGGTTTCGGCGCCATCCACCCGTCGCTGCAGGTGCACTTCCTGCGGCCAGACAGGTGCCCACCTTGTCCCGCAGGTCCTCAATAGTCTTGAAATAGTGGCTGTAGTCGCGGGAGGGCCCGGGGCCCTGCTTCTGGTACCAGTCGCGGATCTTCACCTCCAGTTCGCCGTTGGCCTTCTCCAGGGCGCGCACTTTGTCCAGGTAGGAGGCCAGGCGGTCGTTGAGGTTCTGCATAGTGGTCTTCTCGTTGCCCGCCAGCAGCCCGTCGGACGCGACCAGGGAACCGCCATAACCGCCGCCGTAGCCCCCGGAGGAGGACGAGGACACGAAGCGAGCTGACGACACGGACACACCGCGGCCGCCCGAGCCCCCGTGGATGCTGGGCGCGCGGAAGGCACCGCCGGCCCCAAAGCGTACAGAGCCACCGCCCAGGCCCCCGAAGGACGAGGTGGTGGATGACTGGCGATAGCTGTAGGAAGTCATAGCGAGGCAGAGAACGCAAGAGACGCTGGCCCCAGAAGCCGCAGTCCGCAGGAAAAGTGGTGTGGCCCTCACCTGGCGCCTTTTATGCCCTAGGCGTCCAGCAGGGGAGGGGGGATGGTGTCAGGAGTGGTTATCTGAGCCCCGAGGAATTTGCAGGCTCCTGTGTGCAAATATGGGCCCTCTTCCCATTGGCCAGTGCCTGGCTGCTCTTTCCTCAACCCTCCCCCGGCAGGGACCAAAGGCCCCTGCCCTCCCCAAGAGCTGCCCCCACCTACCCCAACACACACACACACACACACACACACACACACATCTCACACAGACATAGACACCCTCACCCCCAGCATTCACATTCTGACCCTCAACCATTTAAAACACCCAGAGTTTGACAACGCCCAGGAATACAGTCCCCTGAGATTATACTCCCACACTGTCTCCAAGTGACCAAGTACTCAGAGCACCCCCTGTTTTGGTAGCCCCTTCCCTGTGATCAAAATCAAACACACTGCCCCCACAACCAAAAGTACGTTCACTGAAGTCCCACACCCAATCGGAGTTAAGTCTCTCAAAATCCCCTCTTTTAACTCCCCGACAGTTCCCTTGGACAAAGACAGTGTCCGGGTAGGGGTGCTCTGAGCCATCTGCTCCCAGGCCTCCCCAAGACAAAGCAGCCCCACCCTGCTGCAGCCACACCCTGCTGCAGCCACACAATGCCCCAAGGTAACAACAAGCCCTGTCCAGGAAGGAAATGGCTGCAGGGAGCAGTTCAGGCAGCTGTAAACTGTACCTTCACAAGCCCCAGCTCAACCCTGACTCCCACCTGGGTGCTGACCCCACTCAGGGAGTCTCACCTCAACCAGACAGCCCTCTACGCTCCAGCCTCCAAAGCAAGCATTCATCAAAGCATTTCCTGAGCCTCACTGACATTCCCACAATGAGGACTCTGAACCTGAGGGAGGCAACTAACTTGCCCATGAGACATGTAGCACCTGCCACCAAAGAGAAAAACATGGAGTCTCTGCCCTGCTTGTAAGCACCTCAGACAGGACTACAAACCCTAGTCCTTGTGCAACCAACGAGTCCACATCCTAGCACAGGGATGAAGGACAGAAGAAAAGAGTCGGGGAGAGTGTACAAAGGTGCTCATCCCCAGAGTGAAGAGTTGTGATAACAATAGAGGACCAACTCCACACAGCCCCAGCCCTGCTTTCATCCAGTTCAGCAGTTCCACCCACCTCGGGCTGCTAACCAAAATGTCAGCGGTTTGAATTGACCAGCCGCTCCGCAGTACAAAGATGAGGCAGTCTACTTCCGTAAAGATTTACAGCTTTGGAAACCCTATGGGGCAGTTCTACTCTCCCCTATAGGATTGCTATAAATCAAGATCAACTCGCTGGCAGTGCACTTCTTTTTGGTTTCTGAACGCCTTTGGAAGGTCAGGCCTCCTGCCAGACACCACAGGGAACCGCAACAACCTCACCCCAGGTCCTATTCCCAGTTAGAACTGTCCCCAGGGTCACTCCTTGTCCTTTGTCAGAGCAATCACCCACTCTCAGGACAGAGGCCCTGTTCCCTTTTGAGAAAATGTTAAGATGGGTCTATCGCTCTCCATCTCCAGGCCTCAGTTTCCCCCCTATGAACTGAGTGTCCACCCTTTCTGCATATTTTCACCTGGGCCACCTGTGACTAAATGAACACTTGTCTTCAGCCTCTGAAGCCTAAGTACCCAGCAAACTGTCTTCCAGCCACCACGTTATCCTGGAATGGGCAGGAAACCCACATACACACACCACTAACCTAGTAGAAGCCACCCTCGACTCTCAGGAAAGCCAGCTTTGGGCACTAGTTTAGAATGAATCAGCTGCAGGAAGATGGCAGGTATGTCCTGGGAGCCCAAAGGGGGAAGAAGGCATGACTCACGGCCAGCCCTGAAAACAGGGTGTGGTGGGGTCTTCACAGAGGTTGTAGCCACTAGGGCTGGACTGACATGAGTCACTCTCATTATCTGGCCCAGAGGAGGTGGCCTGCTCTTTGTGGGGAAGGGAGAGATTGGCTAGATAGTTGCTATGTACACCAAGCCCCAGACGGATCTGTTTTTCTGGCTGGATAGAAGGGTCTGGGGAGAGACTCTGTGTTAAGAAACAAAGAATAGGACCAACAGTTTTACCCCCATAATTAAAGCGTTCTGAGCTCGCTAATTCCAGCTGAGCTTGAAGCCCCAGCCCCTTCCTTAGGGCCAGAGCCACAAGAACAATTGACAATAGAGTAATACAGTTAACAAAGCCTTTTCGGATCACACTGGATCCTCACAGAAGCTCATTGGAAAAGACATTCTTGTCCCCATTTTACAGATGAGGAAATGGCTCCAAGGGGTACAGTGGCTTGCCAGAAGTCCACAGCCAGAAGTGTCAGATTCTTGCTTCTAGCCTCTTGACCCTCAGCCCCTTGAGTGTAAAGTTCACAGCTCAAAAATATATGTACAAAAAACTGTACACAACTCTTTTGGGTCCCCTTCCCCAAAAATCTTATCATGCCATCGCTGAGGTCAGTCAGGCCCAGATGGAACTGTGGGCTTGGGTCAAGGAGAACCCCCTGCTCCAACTCTCTGGCCAGAAACAGGAGCCAGGTGCCTAGCACCTTCTTTAATGGCTTTTGGCCACTTCTCGGATACCTGAAGAACTCAGAACAGTCTGCCCCTATAGCTGTCCTCCCCAGAAATGGAAGTGAGGGACCAAGCTATTGCTCCCATTCAGTAAACAGACTGTTTGACCAGGGGTCCCAAGTCTGCCTCTGGCCACATAAGGGTCAAACCTGATTTGAGGAGCTCCCTTCCAAAGTCCTGGACTCCAGGCTGAGGGTCCCAGGTCTGGAGGGGGGAAGCACATAGAACTGATAACAAGGAAATATTAGAGCTCAAAGGGACTCATGGCCCAACATGCTGCCAACCTGCCTCTGCAGAACGCTGGCCCCAAGAGATGCCCTATGGAATAAAGGGTCCACTATCAAATAACTTCAAACACCACTCACCCTGACTCCCCTTTGGAAGTATTTGGCACACAGTACCAAAGGCTCTAAAAACCTCAGTCCCTCATTTATAAAATAGGGATAATAATAATAATAATTAAACCATAGCGACCCCTCCTTGGGTTTCCGAGGCAATATGGCTACGGAAGTAGATTGCCCAGTCGTCCTTCCAAGGTGTGGCTGGTGGGTTTGAATGGCCAGCCTTCTGGTTAGCAGTCAAATGCCTTAGGCACTATGCCACCAGAGCTCCTATAATTAAATATACTAGCATTAAATTATATTAGCTGAATATATTGATAATATAAACAAAAGTAGAAGTGTTTTTATTATACCTATTTTGTAGGGTTGTTTCAAGGAGTTTATCACAGTGCAAGCAATTATTATTATTATTAATGTTGTTGTTGTTCAACTTTATTTAACGCAGCATTTCCCAAATGTACTAGACCACCACCCACCTGTCAGTATGTTGTACTGTGGCAGCTTGCATGTTGCTGTGATGCTGGAAGTTATGCCAGCAGGGTCCCCATGGTGGATACGTTTCACTGGAGCTTCCAGACTAAGAGACTGAGAGGAAGGACTTGGTGATCTACTTCCTAAAAAAATTGGGCAGTGCTGTGTATGCAACAGGGAGACAGCTCAGGGGGCAGGAGTCCTTGGAGGGAAGGACACAGGGAAGAGGTAACTATGGAGAGGAAGTGGGAGGGGAGCTATTGCATTGTGGCAAAACATAGTCAATATCATGAGACAAAGTGTATGTGAGCTGCTGTATGGAAAGTGAATTTGCTCTGTAAACTTTCACCTAAATCACAATAAAAATTTAAAAATAAAAAAATAAGGAAAAAAAATGAATCAGAAAAAATACAACTATAAAGATATGTTTAACCATCTGTAGAATGGTATCTCTGGCAAAAAATTTAAAAATAAACCAATGCCAAGTGTTGATAAGGATGTGGAACAATGGGAAGCCTTAAATCATTTTAGTGGGAATGTAAATTGTTTAAAACAACTTTGGAAAACACTATGGCATATCTAATAAAGTTGAATATGTATATACCCTGCAATCAACATTTCCACTCCTAAGAATATACCCAAAGGAACACTTACCCATGTGTTCCAGGAGACATGTATAATTGTGTTAATGCCCACATTGTTTGAAATAGCAAACAACTGATAACTCAAACATCAATTGACAAGAAAGTAAATGAATAAACTGTGGTTTAGTCCTACAATGGGATACAATACAGCAGGTAAAATAATTTACAGCATCATATATCAACATTGAGTAATTTCATACACATGTATGTTGAAGCAAGGAAGAAAAGTAAATTATAAGAGAAAAGAACTATAGGATTCATTTACATTATATAAAATTCAAAAATATTCAAAACTAAATAACTGGTTGTTAGAGATATAGCTGTATGTGGTAAAACTTAAGAGAAATGCAAGAAATAAAAATCATCAGTGTGAGACCAAAAGTAATCAACAATTACTCAAAAGCCAAGTTTAGGAGATAAGAGGGCAGGGAAACTAGAGTATTGGAAAGGAAACAAACTAAACACAATGGAAGAGAATGTTGACACATTGGAATAAATGTAACTGTCACTGAACAATTTGTATGAAAATTGTCAAATGGGAATCTCACTTGCTGTGTAAATTTTCACCAAAAACTCAATAAAATATTATTTTTAAAAGAAGAAAAAATTGGCCAGTGAAAACCTCATGAATAACAGTCAAACATTGTCTGACATAGTTCCAGAAGATGAGCCCCTCAGGTTGGAAGGCACACAAAATACAACGGGAAAGAGTTGCCTCCTCAAAGCAGAGGCAACCTTAATGACATGGATGGAGGAAAGCTTTGTGAATCTTCATTTGTGGATGTGGCATGACCCAAAATGAGAGGAAACAGCTACAAACATCCACTAATAATTTGAAGATGGAATATACAAAATCTGAATCTCAGAAAATGGGAAGTTATC